AGATTGAAAGGAAAATGAAAGAGGACACATGGAACATCCTTTTTCTGTGTAGCCTGAACACCTGTGAGAGTTGTGAGTATTTTGAAATATTTGTGAAGTATGGGGATTTATCACTGCTGCCTATGGGAATTTATTTGTTGTGGTGCACCCGTAAACGAGATGGCCCGATTAAACAGCGCCCTCAATAACATGTTTTTCAGCAGTAGAACAACCTATCGGAATGCGTAATGTTTTTTTCGAGGAAGGTTAGGGGCAATTATCATATATGGGCGTGGTTAACTGTAAGCTCGATCAATTTAGTGGGCACTTGGAAACTTAAGTGCTGAGGTACATGTCGGGCTTTACTTTTCTATTATAAAAAAACATCCTCCAACCAACTAATTCCCCACCAAGAAAAAAAATTACCACATTATAGACTCGAACCCTCGGCTTGTATAGTTGATAGCTGGTTCGCGTGCTGTTGTAACTATTTTTGCCATGAACGGTTTCATTAACAAAGGCAAGCAAGCGGTTGTACAGGTATGACCTTTAGTATTCTGCACAGTAAGATGGCCACCAGTGGCTTCAGTGACCTGAGTCTGTGGACTGATTAAGGGCATTGCGAGTCCAAACTAAATTCCATGATGAGAATATGACAATGGAGTTTGTAACTCTACTTGTTTTTCAATCTGCTCATCACCCAGCGCCCACAAAGGGGGCTGGGAAGGGCAAATGCACTTCACTTTTTTGTCGAGGAAATATGTCAACCCTATGAATGCGAAAAGCATTTTGGGTTACTTGCCGCCGTAATCAACGCATGTATATGCAGAGCGCACTTCTTGTGAGCACAGTGAAAGGTTGACCCTTGCTATGACTCAAATGAAATCTGTCCAATTAAAAATTGCTGTATGATTTGCCCTTCCTGACGCCCTATGTTGGTGGTTGGAGACAAGCTAATCTTTTAAATGGGCAGCCCACGCTTTTTGCCGCCATGCTTATTTATAACCTGCGCACGCATGCATAGTTTCGAATTTATCAGTGAAAGGTTATTGTGGGCCTGTATGTTTCTCTCGGATCCAGATCGCGATCAGTGATCCCAAGTTAGTTCCCTAACACAAGAACCTGCCTAATGGATGGACCAAATCAGTGGTGGGGTCGCCATTCGAGAAATGCAGGTAACCCGTAATTAAGCGTGTGCAGAATACAACTAGGATAACATGGGCTTTGTGAGAGAATTACAAATACCTATGGATGTTCAGACGATTGCTCGGACGTTTCTTCACACTGTTACTCTGTTGGCGGCCTTTTTGACTTGCACCGTAGCAGTACACGGTGAGATCTTTAGTTTGTATATTTGAAAACGTTTTTCAGTTCGAATTGAGTATTTTTTTAATGGTATCACATATCTATCAAGTCTTAATGACACAGTAAGTATGGGTGTTACGATTGTGCACGTTTTTCACAAAACGGCGCCCTTGTGCAAATGCGAGAATTTGTATAGGCCAAAGTTATTATTTAATTTTTTACAGCTGTTAAGAGGGTATCGCTTTGTCATGAAAACGTTAAAAAGGAGAGAATTTGGTTTCCATTTTAGGCAATGTACAACATTTTAAAGTTATATTCAAAAGGGTAACTGACGTCATTTTCATGGGTAAGCAATCAAACAAGTTCAGGCTCTGCAGGACATATCGCGACCTGTACCTTTATAACGCATGCACGTTCAAACGGTGTCAGTTAGGGTTACTTTGGAATTAATTTGCAAGTATTATTCAGTTGATGAGGTTTTCACATCGCCACATGCATGACTTCAACTATCTCCCCAGGATGCGTTTGGCCTCTCATTTACACAAGTTTGCTTTGGGAATATAAATTTTCGATCGCAAATCTTCAAAGATAACTTCTTCTGAATGTACAAGTAATGTTTCATAACTGTTCTTTGAGTGTACATTTGTCACAAACTTAAATCGTAATTTCTGAATATCAACTCTTGCTCCATTATGTTCGTTTATAAGCGATTCTGTACAGAACCATTGAGTGACGTATCTAGGTTTTTACCTGGGGCGGTGGTTTTTGGGAAATGATTGTCAATGATGATTGTCAGGGGAAATTGATATCCCCCGGATACGCCATTAATTTCTTATCCAAATAACAGACATACACAGTGGTTACAAAAATGACTAAAAACAACATGCAGAACATGTTAAATTTGTTTGTTTTAAGTATCTATTTCTTTTGGAACAACTCCGTCACTTATTCGTCCTGGCTTTAATTCAGACGACATTCCTAATTGATTAGGCTGTACAGTGCAAGGGGACGAAACTGCACTTAACGTAATCCATAATTGATTTTCAGACCACTTAAAACCATGGAGACCAGCCTTCACGGTCACGTGGCATTAAGACTCACCGTTATAATCAAATATTAAGGGCAGACGCTTTATAAACACAGGTTGCCAGGGTAACTTGTTAGAGGTGAACCGACCATTTTACAGCTACGAACTTGAAAGCACAAAAATCTAGGGTCATTCCACCTGAGGGGTTATAATCTAAGGAATAAGTACCGGGTAATAGCAACAAATGTTTCATGAACACACTGTTTTTGAAACTTCTACTCTACTTTAATGTGTGAAAACTATCTCACATGCCTTTTATGTCAAACTCTTGAAAAGTTACCCATTTGTAAACATGCAGCAAAGTACTTTTCAGGACAACTGTGGGCGCTGTTTCTATGATACCACCAAGGAAAGACATGGTTCAGTATACAGGGTTTTTTCTGTTTAGATTTAGAATCCAGAATATTTACTCACTGACCTTCTGAGAATGGTTTGTTCGCTTGTTTATTGCAGTGTATGTACACAACAATGAATCACCAGTGAAAAGAAACTTCTGGCCAGCAAATTATTAAACAATCCAACGGTTTTTTAACAAACCGTGCCAATGTAACATTGAGATGTTCATCCCGGAATGAATCAGAGGACTTAAAGTTGAAAATTTGTAATCACAAGCCCTGTCTTAAATTTTGAAAGAATACATTAAATTACGTCTTTTATTTTTTTAAGTGTGGTATGACAAGAGCTGAATTAGGGTTTAACAAACCCATAAATGTATTATAATTCCACACACTTCCATTAAACAGCTCTAGGGTGGGGAATACATTATGCAATAAACAAAGACGCGCTTGTAGTGGTGAAAAGAAGTTTGAAGTAAATGTCACCAACTGACAGCCAGTAGCTTGGTCTACGCACCGTACGTGTCTTATTGCGGCAACCAGTGAACGTGCCATTAGCTGCATGCTCGTGCGACAAACAGCAATTGAACAATTGCGCCTGCTAAGTCACGTGACTTAAAGTGGGTATCAAATATCAGCAAGCATAGCATTCTCCGATAGCAAACATGGCGTTCTCTCATAGTAAAGTGTGTTATGAGTGCTGTTTATTAAATTAAAGCCAATTAATAGTGCAGTTGCAGTGGATTTTTCCTAAATACATTTTTTTCAAGTGTACTCTAAGTCAATATATGAGAACACTTTGGCATTCCTATTTGCTTAAAAGCAAGTGAAAGTACACATTTTCAATTACAAATTATCCACGTTTTCCTGGCAATTGAGGGCTTTGTTGCTGTGAGGTCATCTAGGGTGAATGTAGTTCAATGCATAGGTTTTTCTATTAAATTATAAACCCAGAATCTACTGGAAAAAACACAATTTGAGAAAGGGATTGATGCCTGCTTATTGCTATGCACATCAACAACAATGAATCAGCAAAGAAGAGGAAATTCAGTCCAGCAAAATAACAAATGCAAGACTATTTTGTGCCAAAATAACGAAATATCTAGCCTTTATTCCTGGGATGAAATCACAATTTTGCTCATGCATATATAGAAACACGCATTAGCATAAAAACCAAGAAGGCAGTAAATTACCCTCTGAAAAAGTGAAACAAAGTTGAAAATAAGGTTATTAAACCGAAACATAAAGGTGCATCTGTAGGTTTGCATTAAAACAAATTGATTGCAGCTACCCTTTAAGAAGAACAGGTGCATATAAGTTATACATTTGTCGGGCAGCAAGCAAGTAACGATACTGTCTGACCCGTAGTTCAGAGTTAGCCGACCGCGCTGTGACTGCTAGGGACTGGCAACTGAATTGGGAAAGCCAAGGAGATTGCCACGACAAGATAACGCGGCCAAGATTCGAGGACCAGGTCGACAACATGGTCAATGATTTCTGATATATGGAAATTATGACGTGCCAGAGGTACATATATCTATTAAACCATCGAGCGTCAAAGTGAAAGGCGGGCCCTCTGATCCAATTTTTGTTGGGTTCGAAGTGAAAGCAATTCTAATAGCGGTACGCAGATCTCAGTACCTCTGTGAATATTGCGAAAATCCAACCTCAATAGAATGTACCCTGGAGGATCAAGTCAAGCAATTAATTGCCTATAATCATACACTTCAGTAGCTTGAATTACGCGGGCAGTCGCGTCATGACAAAGGTAGTCTGGGGATAAAACTTGAGTAATATGGGCATTTACGATTTACGATGGCCTTGTACAGATTTTAGTGAAGGGCATACGTCACACGGGGCCACAACTAACGACGCACAGAGCACTGTAGGTAAATTTCTGTCAGGCGCACGAGCGGTGGTTATCAATTCGATTTTTTTCCTCATTGCTGAAAATATTCTCACTACACTTTATTTGTTCATTCAAAATTTATCAAGATAAGCAATGATTTGAAATATACCGCAAAAAGACACGTGATCAGTGATACTTAGTGAGAAGATAAATTACTACCAAGGCATATTTTTATCGTATAGCCGACACTGTGCCCGCGCCAAAGCATTGCCATTGGCGAACCAAACAGTTCGAATAACGTTTCGCCGACTGCAAGTGATAACTTCGTGGTCACAGGTGGTGCACAATGTAACCAGTCACAGTGCAAAGCCAACAACCTTTCCCCGCGCCCCGTTCGGGCGTTGGGCGACGAGCGAAACGATTCGTGGGACAGGTACCGTAAGGTTCTTGTGCGACATCAGTAATGTTGCTCATGATAATGCCCTCTCGCAGCGAAGGGTTTGTAAACACGTAAATAGCAACATCTGGGAACTAAGCCTGGATACTCTTGCGGAAACCTATAGGTGGAAAGGCCGTGTGACGGTAAGGTCGATATTAGTGTATTAAAAAGGCTAAAAACTACTGGAATTCAAACATTGTTTACATAGATAATTTTGTATCGGTTAAACGTGTCACTTTCACTAATTCTAATTCAAAAAAGGAAATTTCTGAGAGGGAAAATCACAAAGCTACAAAATCACCGTGGACAGTAGGATGTCTGTGGTGATCACAACATATTTTATGTGCTGTCACAAAAGAAACAAAATGTCAGTAGTACTAAATTGGTACTGATTCCATCAGCCAGTTTGGTAATATCTTACTTTATCTTTATATACGAATAAGCTCAAGGGTTCCCCATTCCCAGCACGCATCCTATGTATACATGCACTGTTTTTCATCCGACTTTCTCTTAATGGTCAGATTCCCACTGTCCTTTTAACTGCACGGTTTTCGCGGAGCCATCTTTGCGAGTCACCATAGATGCTTTGGTCAACACGACTGTTCCCGGTATAACGAGGCCTTTCACCTACCGATGGAGCCTTCAGGTCCTGGATGCAGCCCATGGCGTCTACGCTGATGTCCTGCACTGGGAGACTGGGCTTATATACAGTGGTCAGTGTCAAAAACTGTGAGGATGCGTTCGAAAAACACTGGCAATGGCCGGGAAAATACGTACACTAACAGAAGCCCCCGTCTACAATAATTTCCAATAGAAACGCTTGTCACGGCCAGTTGCAACTTAAAGTATCGAACGGAGCCCAGCAGTGTACATTCACCGGTTAGGCAAAGAAAAATGGCCGATCTTTGGTCAGCGCGCGCGTCGATTTTGAACCCATGCGTCAATTGTTTCCCCTCTTTTTCTCACAATCTTCAAAACAGCGCCCTCTATTTCCGCACCTCCAGAATGTTCACGAGTAGACTGATTCCAGGCCACAAGTCCACAAGGCAGAAGGGCAACTTGTTCAAGGAACTAGACTAATTCGTGGGTTGCTCATACCCGGTGATAGATCATTACGACTGCGTAATGTTGATGTCAAACATAAACAGTATACCATGAGTAGGTTACAAAGTTGCAGCCAGCTGATCAACAACAATGCCAGCATGACGTGCGACGTGCTACTACTAGCCTTTGCTCTTTGATAATATGCCACTCATTTCCGTGTCCGTGGCTAGTCTTAAAAAGCCAACTCTTCCCCCCCCCCAAAAAAAAAACACATAGCCGCATCAATTCTTGAACTTTGGTCTGACCAAAGAACGATTTTTAAATTTTTGTTTTTGCCTTCCTGTGTGCAAAGACAAACGCGCTCTCTCACTATGCAATTAAGACATACGGTGAGAGAGGGCGCTGTCAAGCAGCTGAAACAGCTGCTCAGTACTTAGCTTCCTGAGTAACTGATGGGATTTATTTGCAAGTTTCAAGGGCAACTGTGCAAGCGTTGATAGATAACTGTAATTCATATCCAGTCTTGCGACAAGACTAGGCCGGGCGTGTTCTGTGGACCAAATGCACATTAGGCCTACAGTCCATCAGTTCGTCTGTCACTCCGTCCACTTTCATGCGTCTCCTCTTTCCTCCTTCAGACTCCACTACATGCACCATCATATTCAAGGAGGATTTTTTGGAACGAGGTCGAGACTATCGAGTGACATACCACGTGACCACTCCAGTCTTTCAAGAGATGAAGACCGACCGGACCGACGTGCTAGTGCGGACAAACCACTCACCAATCGGGGGACACTGCAGGGTATTCCCTACATCAGGTATGGGTTCGCGCGCTGCCTATCGCCATATTACACCCATAATACCTTGAATCGTTCGCTTTGGTACTGTTTATTCTTACTTTTGTTTTCTTGTGACTTAAAATGTCCTTAAACTCATCTAGATCAGCCCGTCAGTGAAAGACAAAAAGAAACAAACAGACGAAACAAAAAAACACACCTACAAAAAATATACCTTGACACTCGTGATAGACGCAGCTAGGAAACATGAAAACAATACCTGTTCCTCGAAAAATTCTGTTTCATAACAGGTTTCACAGTTTGCTTATACTTCCTTCGTTGGTCAGGCGCTGATAGCATTGAGCTTGGTTCAATGTTTGGTTGTCTCACTTTAAAGCTGTTTGTTATGTATGAGAAATCTCTTCGTTTTTTTCACTGCTGCAACTTGCAAGGCCGAGCTTTAGAAACCACCTTCCAGATCGAATGTTCTGATTGGTCGGCCGTGGACGACACTGTCCAATCGCTGCACTACTCCTACTTTGCCGTGCTTCACAGTGAACACGCTGATGATTCGGAAGCTTTATTGCGTCATGGTATCGAGCTCAGTAGAATCAAACTGATCCTGCCTGTGGGTGATGCTTTAAATGAGTACTTACTCGACCTTGTAGTATACATTTTCGACTCACATCTTGGGTATACAACCGTTGATCTTCACGTACAGGTTGGTGATTTAGTTTAATAGGTGATCTATATTGACAATATTCAAATTATCACCTGGTAAAAATTTGGTATTAGGCCAGGCACTTCCTACGAAGAAAGTGCCATCTTTGATTAAAAGGAGCGTTACACATAGGCACTTCTTAGATGCTGTACAATACGAAAGAAGTTTCACTGACAAATTCATTATAATCACCACATCACACTTTACGGTACAAAAGCTTTGACAGTTTCTTTGTTGAAAAACAGTCTGTCATTCTTTTCAACAGACATTACCTCCAGATATGGAAATTCTGCTCGGGACAGACCCTACTCTTCGACTGGAAAGCATACTAAGGAACTCTAATGCCTCAGTTGTTATGAGCAAACTGATCTCTCTGTCGTCGATACTCAATGAGGTAAACAGACAGGCGAGTGCACAACGACGGGCTTGTAGTTCATCGTCAGGCGTGGTTCAAAAAACTTTTCTACACTGTCATTTTCCTACCTCAAGAATAGGTGATAATTCCTGAGCATTATTTAAATTTTGGTGGTGCCATGACGACATCGGCGTTGAAATATCGTGGTGATACAGACCTCAGTATGGCCGAAATCACGTCGAAGAGAACCGACATCGTGGATATTGACAATCACAAATGTAGTTCAACCAAATCAATGGCAGATTTGAAGTAAAATGGCTTGAAAATTCCAACTTCTTGTCCCTAGGAAAATATCAGACCCGACGTTCCTGAAGAGAGTGCTCACATGAACGACACGGAACACTTTGGACAGCTACAATTACGCACAGAGGTTGGTGAAAGAGGATTACGTTGTTGTTAAAGTAGACTGACGCACACAGTGCTTATAGGTGAACGACATTAGGTAATCATAAAATTAAATTTTCACAACTCATATACTCGTCTTGGTCAAAGGTATACTTAGTTTCAAACTGGCCAAGTACTTCAAAAATTACGTTTCAATTTCATTTTTCTGCAGGTGGTTTCCTAATATGACTGTTAATCTGACCAAAGATAGATACACACGATAACTATAGCCTCATCGAATGCGCCTACTTTATGGCAAGAAGATTATTTTTTGACAAGTGTGGTATTGCAGCTTCAAATTTTACCACTTCGTGTCCTTAATAGGCAAGCACTCTGCCTTTCCTTACCCTGTTATCCACGAGTAGCGTGGGCACTCTCAAGAGAGCTTTGTGTGTTATAGGTGAATCGTCATATAGGAACGTATACACAAAAATAAGACTGCCATTTATTTTTCGCATGTGGCAGATGCGCAGCGCCATGACAGTCGCCTTGGTCACATTAACTCGTAACTTGTATCAGTCCGGAGCGGCTGCAGTCAACGAGACCGAAGACACGGAGACGTGGGTTCAAGCCGGTAGTACCGTCGCCCTCGTTGCCGAAAAACCCAACGAACTCACACTGTCGACACAGGTGAGCTGAAATAATGGGTCTACACCTGAAAATATTGGTCTTTTGATCGACACATGAAATTATATGCCACACAAACCCCAATAGACTGAATTTGTTTCAATATTTGCAGGAGAAGAAGAGGGTGTATGCTCCGAATATTTGGCTCATTAAACAGTCTGTCACCATTTAAAGTTCATGCTTGATGAGTGGTAAGAGGCGCCCTGGCCAGTGTCATTTGGATCTAACTTTTCCTGTTTTTCATTTCAAAGTACCGGTACTACATGTACTTTTGAATGAGTTAAAGTGTCCCTGACCGGGCAAGGAAAGCCGCATAAAGGATCTTGTTTCATATGGGAAAAAGGGTAAATGAAGCAATTATGAAATAGTTGGACATCGAACACCAAAGGCTTGTCCTAAAACTCTGGATTACAAGACCAGTGATCACTGCCTGGACTGCTTAGGGAAACTGCTTGAAAGCATATTTCATGTGTCAGCTATTCTATTTCAAATATTTCTTTATTTCCTCGAATTACCAGTTACAGCTCATCGAAATACTGGAGAATGTGACAGCAAATCTCATTCGAGTGTCGCTGCTCATACCGAGGCAGCAGTACACCCTCGTTTGCAATGGTGAGTTTGAACTGCAAGTGCATTGAGCAACAGTTACTCTGAATAATGAACCTGTCGTGATCATCTACAACCCTCATATTGGCCTTGGTGGTAAATAATGTCTTTAATCAGGTCAAGGAAAATGGGGAATGCGAATATACAATTATATCTGACACGATGTCAATTTCTATGTAACTAAAGTTGAGCATGCTAGGTTTGCAAACTTAAGTTTATAAACCTATTACTGAAAGAAAAGAGTGCCACTGTCCTCTTTTACTTATTAAATTGGTAAAATAAATCGGATCAGTGAGTTTTTAGCAGATACTTTGAAGACGTGACACGTGCAAGGTATACAAATGTATTCTTAGGAAGGTTGCGATTGCAAACATTGTAACAACAATTTCATCATCACATTTATTTCGTATTTATGCATAATATGCCAAGCATTTCGTGAGATATCTCAAAATCGCTTATTTTTCCTTCAATACACCATGTTACAGATATCTTACGCACAGTGGATAGTCTACAACAAGCAGCGGTCCATGACAAGAGAAGTGCCGACAGCGCCTCACTGAGAGAATGGGCTGTGGTAACAACCTAGCAGTTGTCTATAGCAGAATGTATAATGTGTATTCAGCTTTAGTAACTAGCGAAGATGTACGAAGACTAAGTGGTGGAAATTAAAGCTCACCGAATGGTCACTGATTAAAGACCTTTTGCACCTACGTAACTGGATTGCACTACATGTAAACAATACCACTACGTGTGGACCGCCTTGGCCACAGTGATCGCATATATTCCTACGGGCAGCTTCAACCACGTGCAAGCGCACGTGCGAACGCTGCATGCTTGACTAGTTTATCTTGAGTAAGTACGGTAGATTACCATCACAACACTATGCACCATTACCATCACACCACACAAAGGCCCGGCATAATTATGACATCACACGAAAAAGGTCTATAGGGCAATCTCGCAATTGTCGATAATGACCTTTGCATTGGCATTAACGTCAAGCATCGCTTCAATCTGTTTTTAAACGGCTGCAAGTGTTGTCTTGTTATGAAGAATTTGCTAATCCACCTCATGAACATTATTACATGTATTTGGTCAGAAAGGGAGTCTCTGAGACCTCCGATGAATCCATTTCACTAATGTTACTAATATGCAGATACCAAAATATATATGTATCTAGCTTATTTCCAGCAATGTCAAAGAGTAGAGCCTACTTACACTAAACTGTTAAGGGTGACTTGAGAAGGACACTGGCGCCGCAGCTGATAACTAAAATCGACTTCCGCTTTTATCATTCGGCCAGACAAGAGATGTCGTGACTCGCTGTGATCAGGTGGAAGCCGACATGTCAGCTAGCCTGCTACATCGGCTCTACCCCGGTGATCCGTTACTCCGGTTACGGAGTCCCAAGCTGGAGCTGGGACTGTGGAAGGACCCGCTGTCCAGCGGCCTCGTGCGGCCCACGGAGTCGGTGCTGACCCGTCTCATTATTGATGGCTTCGTCCTACCTGCAAGGTTGCTGAACTCACTTAAGAGCCCCTCCGAAAACGAAGCCCGCTTTGAATCCTTTAAGGTCATTGTTGGCTTGATATGTTATTTGCTAGAAAAATCCCAAAACCTTGATAATTAAAAGCAACTAACTAACTAAATAACGCCAGAATTACCTTTGTCTTTACAACATTTTTTTCTCCTTCTTAGACCAGAGAATATAAATTCAATCCATACCTATGGGGAGACGATCTCGGCTTCAGCATCACATCACTGGTCAAGACACTGGAACTCATAGACGACAAAAACGTTAAGATCAACATACAAGACACTGAGGCGCTAATCAGTGTGCTATTCTACCGGAGAAAGGAGTCTTTGGGCCAGTTGCCCCCGGATGTCGGGGCTGATTCCGTTGGAGAGGAAGATCTTTACGCCCCGTCCCCAGAAGCCGACCAACACGCTGTGTCCTTGTTTTTCTCGTCAGGGGATACCAAGTTCTGCTACGTGTTGTACATCCCCGGCGCGGAGTTCAGCGCAGCAATGCAGGGCAACGTGACGGAGGGGCTCTCAAGAGCGGTCACCTCAGCCACTCGTGCCCAGCACGGGGTCCAGGATGTTGACGACAGAGACCCCTGCGTGCCCGTGACAGAACTAACCCTTGACGAAGACAGTGTTAGTCGGAGTTTGGAAGAATTTCAGGTTGAACTGAACTCGACTTTCAGAATCAGAGTAGCTAAGACCGAATGCGTCTTCAGGGATAACTGGGACATGCCTTCGTCAATTATCCTGAACACTCCACAAGGGATTAACCTCACGTTTGAATTTCACCTGCACATCTGCATGTACTGGGACGTTGAGAGTGAGACATGGAAACAAGATGGTTGCAGGGTGAGTTGGAAATCACAGAATTTTTCAAACCAATAATTCTTTTCTCAGCTTGTTTCATGTAACCAGCTAATTTAATTCGCAGAAGGGAGGCAATACTGGTAACACACCATTCTCAACCGCTTTCTAGGATCTTAATTTACCGTGGTTTCAGGCGTATTTGTTTCAATTTAGAGGAGAAACAGTTTCGAATAAAAACAACAGGCCCAGCTCGTGTTACTTAAAATTGCAACTTACAAGCACCACAGTGGCATTGTAATGAACAGTGAAGAAGACATGCAAAGAAACTGACATGGAGTAGAGACCACAGAGCTATAGTGACCATCCTCTTTTAATAGGTGTGGAAGGACTTGAGTAGCACTGTATAAATTATTCATATCTAATAATTTAGCTAGTGTGGTGCCCTCTATGGCTTGTGTTTGTTACGCTAGGTTCTGTCTTCGCAGCAACTTAGCGAGTAAGTTTCTCATTGCCAAGCATGATGTTCACACAGGTCAGCCCGCTCTCCACGAGAAATGTGACAATCTGCCAGTGCAACCACCTGACTACCTTCGCCTCCACCTTTATCTCCGTGAACACAATCGACTTCGTCAGCGTTTTCACCGAGAGCAACCTGGGCGACAACGTGGCCGTGTTTGCCGTGGTCATCGGGATAGCGTGCCTGGTTGTTCTGCTGGCTCCTGTCATGTGGTGGAAGGACAGACAAGATTTACTGAGGGTATCATGCCGTATTTTGGGATTCATTATGTACATGGTGGCACTTCGCCGATATTTGGCTAAACAAATTGCTCTGCGATGGTTTAAAAATGTCGGTAGTGTGTTGGCACTTAGCCGACGCTGGGCACATGCCGTTATCTGGGCACAAAATAAAAACTTTACAGGCAGCGCGTTTTGTTAACCGACACTTCGCCGCCATTTTGACGGCATCTTTCAGTAAAGATCAGTCCAAACCAGACTGGTCATCACTGGTGCTCACTGTCCACAGTATGGCACGAGGCATTTTCCCATTATTAGACAACTGCCCCTCGGGCAAAAGATGAGAAACACTAACGTGCTGTTTGAAATTAAACACAAGTGTGAGTCTCGCAAAATGAGGCCCCTCCTAGTGACTCTACACAATAGCTGCGGCGGTATCGGGCCTGTCAAGCTGTGCAAGGGGTACCGTGTCGACTCAGTTCCTGTTAAGTCCCGCAGGGTTATTTATGCCAGCATGTGCCTTGTTAAACACCGGGTCAGTACCGGCACAGTGCCGGTTCAGCTCGGCAGTACTACAGCACACTTGTGACCATTCGATTGGTTCCAGCACCATAAAGGAACGCAGGTTGGAGTTTTACATTTAACCATGTACTTTTACTGTAAGTTTCATTTATTACTGTATAGTGGGCTGCACATCCTCTCGTTGACAATTCACGTGAAGACACATATATGTATACGGTTTCTGTATACACGGGCTATCCAAAGCACAGTGGTACAAGGTCACTGGTTCACTTCGATTTGATTGGAGACTTAGACGGAACCAGGGACCGAAGACTACAGGATTTGGAAGACTGCACAGTAAGTAGAAAATTTATAATTCCATTCCATTAGAGATGATAAAACTGGAATCGCGGGGTTGCTTAAATATCAGAATATATGTTTTTAAGTAAGGAAGTACGGTAACACCTAAGAAAAGTCAGATTTCACTGAAAAAATGCACGAGCTATAGCAATGAACGTGGTGTTCAATTCTGAATGACGAACTTTTAATTGTCTTCTCATGTCCATACACGACAATTTCAATGGCATGTTCCAGGCTCATATTAAGAAAATATAAATGTCCCACGCATTATAGACTAATCTTATAAGACGCCCTAACTGCTGTGGCACCACGTCACACGCACATTCTTCAGTGTGACGCGCACGTGCGATTGGCAAATCACGACACCCCATTGGTCGAATAGGCATGTAACGCGTGCGTATCACCTGTCCACGAGCGTTGTGCCACCGCAGTAATGGCGTCTAATTCTGCTGGTCGAATTAAACTGTAGGAGTAAACGAATTCTGTCGTGTTCGAAGTTAAGTGAACATGTAGGAATATTATTTACTATCATACATTAAAGGCTTCAGGCTGTGATTTGATATTTTTTCCATCGATGAAACTCAATAGAGACTGGACACTGGTACCCTAAACCACTACGTGATGAGCGTACCTCGTAGCCTGGGACCACTGACCTACTTGCACATCAGACATGACAACTCAGGCGAAGGACATTATGCGTCATGGTACGTGTACTGGATTGTCGTGTGTGACCTACAGACTCGGCTGAGGTGAGTCCAAATGCTATTGAGCAGTGTACATAAAAATGGAGAACACCGAGATGAAAAAAACTTCAAATGAAGTTACGGGAGACCACATGATATTGATTTGTCGAGTGATAGTTGAGCCTGAGGTAGGCGTAACCATTGAGCTGAAAGCCGGTTTGGGGTGTTGCTGTGTACGCCTTGCATAAAACATGACAGTGTATGGCATCACCAATGCAAAAACAGTCGACTGTTTGATACATTCTTGCACAAGATGTCAATGTTTAATAAGGACATGGAAGTGTTGGGCGAACTACCTATTTTTAGCTTGAAAATCCCATGAGAGTGTGAGGGCTTGACAAATGGAAATAACCTGAAATACATAATTCTCGGGCTCAAGGTGTGGGAGTTAGCAGCCCTTGGAAGTCTTATCCGCCTTGAGCAGAAGCACCCCCTCATCGGCTGAAAAAAGCAATTTTAGCAGGGAGTCTTTATTTTGTTGCTAGCAACTCGACCGTAACGTGCGTATTTCACTGTCGTTTATGAATCTACAAAGTGCTGTTCCCACCAAAGGATCCTCCGTAGCTAGGAAAATTGCGCCCTCTCTTGATCCCGCTCGGGACAGATATTTCTTTCCAATATCAATCGAACACCAGTTCTTTCATCTTGAAGAATGTGTCGTACCGTTGGCAACGATGCCTTTCACTATCCAACATCTGTTTACAACTTACTATTCGTTCAATTATCCTATTCATTGTTTGTCAGGAACAGCTTCACTCAATGGCATGCATTTTTTTTTTCAAAACTTTGACAATTTTATCTTATCTTTGTCCGTGGCAGGTATTGCTTTGTACTGAACGACTGGCTAGCTGCAGACTCCCTGACCAAAGAGATTCCCAGCCGAACACTCCTCTTGGCCGGTCACGAGGAGACACTCGCCGTCAAGTCAGATTTTTATCGCGTCGTCCGAGAAACCTTCGCTGACCACCACCTCTGGAACTCCCTCTTCAACCGGCAGCTGCCAAGCCGCTTTACCAGACTCCAGCGCCTCGGTGTCTGCGCGTCGCTGCTGTATCTCTTCATGATCACCAACGCTATGTTTTACTCTCTTGACTCGCTTGAAGCCCGGCCCGTGTGCCCGGCTTTTCGCCTGGTCCTTGGCCCGTACACCCTGACCTCCCAGCAGCTTTACGTGGGCGCCATCTCCTCCCTGATCGTGTTCCCGGTCAACTTTCTCATCATCCAGATATTCCGACGCGCCCGGGGCGCAGCAGAGACCGTGTCAATGAACGGGAAACTCGTGGAGTTTGCCTCCCGGTACGGGCAGGCCGTGAGCCCGCCACAGCAAGAGGGCGCTCTCCCGCGTTGGTCGGTAGGGATCGCATGGTTCCTGGTGGTTCTGTCGGTTGTGACTGGTGGATTTTTCGTTGTTTTGTACAGTCTACAATGGGGCAAGAAGCGATCAGAGGCCTGGCTGATATCGATGTTTATGTCGCTTTTGGAATCGGTGCTTTTAGTTGAACCCGCTAAGGTACGCTTTCCTGTATAATCGTACACAGTAATGATTTTAAAACGAAGAGTTTTACCGGTCAAGCGGTGTTGTTGTCAATCTTGGGTTGATATTAAATTTCAAATAATGCTGCAAAGTTCGCCAGAAAATGAAAAAAAAAACAATCCGATAAAATTGCAAGTCGGCTAATCGCTTGCAAGCTGAATGTGGAATTGGTTCGAAATGAAAAGCAGCATTTATTTCTTGACGTTTCTTACTGTACTTGTTTCTTTGGTCGTGTGGCGGCACATCGCCATTCTTTCCAGTCGTTGAATGCACGTTTTGGCCCCCAACTTTCCTCCTGCAGACCGTATTTGTGGCCTTGGTCATCAGTTGCTGCTGTGGGCGGATTCTCCGTAAAACTCTATTCAAAAATCCGGACAAATTCATCAATACGGACGAGGGGCCAGAAAAAGGTATTGTCATCAATTAGCTCAAGGATAAAGGGCAATGTTTACGTTGTAAATGTCACGGTAATTCAACAAACCTTTCGATTCGATACCAATTGGAGAATATATGATAATACATTAATAACATTCCGAATTATGAAGATATAACTGTTGAAAATACTTCGCTCATTTCCCCTCCTCGTTATATATATATATTTTAGAATGCCACAACGGACCTCCCGATATCAAACCAGCGACCTGGGGCGCCGGCAGCACAATGTGGTGGCACAAAAACATCAACGCTCAGGACATCGCGGAGCAGATAGGGCGCCACCTCGTGTTCATGGTCTTGATACTGGCCATCATTTGGATGTATAGGCACAACGATGCGTTTTACATGAGCAAAGCTGTCAAAGACGCTCTACTTGGCCCCAAGCCACACTTCATGAAGGTGAAGAAATCAAATTTTTTCACTGCGCGGGATTCAATCTCAAAGTCATAGTTTCAGAGCCAGTTTGCTTGAAGCAATAACGATACAGTATCATTGTCGAAGCAAACGTAACCCCGAGTGACATATGCAACTGCAGGAACACTTTTTGGAAGTGAAATGTTCCATTTGTTATTACCGTTTCTGTTCAGTGTTCTGTGAGTCCAGAGGAAGTTACCTATTTCAAGCACAGATTCCACCGGTTTTGTCAGCAAATTCAGAGAAAATTTTGCGGGGAGGGAATTCAGTTACAATTGCAGCCCTTTGCATGGTACCTCGGTGCTTTGCAAGAGCTTGCCAGAACAGCGTTGTGGATGCTATTCCCAAATAACCTAGGGAAAATCATAAATCTGCAGAATGCACCAAGCATACATTGCTTATATAAAACAAGTTAGTGTCAGGCCAAAAATCGAATTACACATTTGACAGTTTCCCACCACCTCGGTAAGTTTTCACCACCTTTTGTTTTAGATACGAACATTTGAAAACTACTGGGAGTGGGCAAACGCAGTCCTGATACCAACGCTGTACAGCAACGAGACGTACACAGGGGGAGCTCTCAGCGACGAAGAGATGATGTTTGCCGGCGAAGCGATCGGACTGAGGGTTGGGTCTGTCCGCCTCAGACAACTACGTGTGCAATCAAGTATGGGCGCTTATATCTGCAACGCAGTTGCACTTTTAGTTGAAGAATAATGGAGGGACATTTAAAAGGAAGCTCACAGTCAATACCATTTACTGGTACTTTTCAAAGTGGAAATTTGGGGGCACTACATGATATTCCGCATACACACTCTTCCGCACTTGCAGTTATAAAACGAAATGAGAAACTGAATTCAAGTATAGCATCTTTAAATGTAAGTCATGTAAACAAGAAGAAATAATACTTCCCGTCTGTTTATATTTGGCTAACATACGATAGGATTCGTCAGGTCGTTTTAGGCCCGTTTTTCCTGTAGTTTGGGTAGGCTGGACGAATTATCATTGCAACAGTACAATGTATAAGCATTTATTGACGCCAGTAAAGTTTCGGATCCATATTATTGTTGGAAAACAATAAATCACATTACTATTGCCTAAGCTATCATGCGATTTCAGCTTAAATTCAATATATTCCTGCATCTACTTATACAGAAGTACTTATTCAAAATGTACAATATCAGATCTGTGTGTGGTAGCCAACAAGATGACTGACTACGGGTTAGACGATGAATGCAATGTAGAGTATACCACATCAAGTGAGGACAAGTCAAACCACGGAGAGCGCTGGCAGAACAGGTCTTTACCCAGCTGGATGTGCTCTGATTCCAGTCTCACTTGTCCCTGGAGATTCACCAAGCCACCAAGTCCTTCCACTAGCAGATACCTTGGAGTACAGGGGACGGTGTTCAGCGGAGGGGGCTTCATTGCTGATCTGGGGACTACCCCCAGACACAGTTACCGAGTCCTCCGCTACCTGCAAGATGCCGACTGGATCAGCGTGCAGACCCGTGCAGTTTTCACCGAGTTCACGCTCTACAACCCGGACGCAAACTACTTCTGTCTGGTCACCTACGTCATCGAGTTTCCCCCGACCAACGGCGCCATCCCCTTCCCTGTGGTCCACACCTTTCGCCTGTACGACTTCGCCGACGAGACGGAAGTCTACTCGCTCCTGGTGACGCTTCTGCACCTCGTCTTTCTCCTGTGGCTGCTGCGCCTCACCTTCATCGAGTTTGAGCACCTCAAGAAGGCCAGAGCAAAATACTTCCTGTCCTTCAACAACTGTCTAGAAGCGATGACCATCATGCTGAGTGCCTTTGGAGTGATAATCTATGTAATCAGGCAGTACGCTGTGGATGCATTCAGTGCAGAGATTGCTGTGAAGAAAGGTACAAGGATTGATCTAACGTGAGCACAGGTTGTGTTTGATATCCTATCACCAAAACGAAGCAACGCGTCTTACATTGTCTTTTTTATTTTCCTTCACCTATGAAACCGTTACCCTAAAGAATTGATGGAATTTATATTGTAGGATTGAGAAGTGCTAGGTTTAATTAACACTTCCAAATCCTTCCAGAGAGCTTAGTGGAATATGACTCTAGAAGCAAGTCAATTAAGGGGTGTACACATGGTCAGCTATTCGTCAAAGTTATGTCGGCCACGGTTCACTGCTTGCCCCCAAGATACAACCACTACGCACCATCGACAAAACGCTGAATCAGCCACGGTGACTTTCTTGGCAAGAGCTTCTATTTCGAAGGCCCTCTAGGTTCTCCACAAAACCATACCTATAAAATTGATAGGCTCTGTGCTAGTAAATTTAGCCCTGTCATTAATGACTTCTTTGACATCCATCCGTTCCGCTCTACTCCTCATAAATTCATTGCAATATTGCAGCAGAAGGAAGCACGTGCTCCTCGCCCTGGCCTAATCCTAGGTTTCTTCTTCCTTCCCCAGACCTCCATTTTAGCTTCCGGACGTTGGTCTTTCTAGATGAGCTCTACGCTCTGTCCTTAGGAACCATCGGCTTCCTCGCCACGATCAAGCTCCAGGCTCTGTTATGCTTCGACAGGCGGTTCACTGTCATGACGCGCACCCTCTCCGACGCCAAGTTCAAGCTTCTTGGGTGCGGCGTCGTCTTTTTCATCGTGTTCTACGGCTTTGTCTGGATTAACTACCTTATTATTGGATCAGAGCAGAAAGACTACAGGTAAAAAGTGGCATCATTTCCAAATCATTTTCACTTGCACTTGTTTTAAAATGTTTTAAATTATGTGACGTTTAAGACCAGCGGCATATCCAGCTTTTGGTGTCGGGGAGCGGGCAAATTCAAAAGCGAATTCAACGTTGGGGAGAAAATTTCAAAGGCATTACTTACGGTCTCGACACCCGGTCTTTTATTTCGTGGTGTTTTCTAAGGGTTTTGTGCTAATATTTGATAAATAAGTATACGATTACTTGCCTACTCCTAAATAAATAGTCCAGGGGGCAAATTCCCCCCCCTCCCAATACAATTACAATTACCACCACAATAGCTGGCACACGTATACTGTATCAAAGCTGATGACATTTGGCAAAAGAGGTATCACTTCGTACTGCTTTTGAATCACCTTTACATCCCAGTACAATAATCTCCACGTCCGAAACACTACTCATCACCCTCCTTGGCAAGTTCCGTTTCAGCCAGTTCGACACCAACGCCTCCTCCAAGACGTTGGTCATCATCATCTTCATCCTGTTCTGCGTTTTCCAGGTATGAAGTCCCGAAGTGTTTTCAAAGCAGCATGTGTTATATCAAATGTGTAATGGAATTTCCATATGCGCACGAGTTATCTTAAGCCGAAGCCAGAACACCTGGACGCAGAAAGCTTCTCGTTCTTATAGAGTGTGTACACTTCACTCCATTGTTTCTGCAGGGTTTTATTCTACTGAATATGTTCATGTCAATCATCATCGACTCTTTCGCCACATTGCGCGCCGACGAGGCCACCTACGAAAACACGGTGTACCTAGAAGACGTCATAGCTTCTGAGATCCGCCGGAATGTCAGAAAGATCATTCCACAGCGAGGTGAGCGTGGTTTTGATCCCGTAAAAAACAGACGTCGTGAGTTGACAAACGCAAGGCATCTCAAGTGAGACCAACATAGGTCCATGAAAACAAGGCTAACAGGTGTTTGTAAACAAGCCTTTTACAGTAAGATGCGTGCTTGTACATGTATGAATATTGCAACGGCTTGAAATGCATTTATGCAACGTCGTTGGCACAATACCTCTGTTGTGAAATAGGGGATAACAAAAAGGGTTAGAATCCACAACGTCCTTTCCCCACAACTTTTTTGTTTTTCCCCACTTCCTTTTAGTTGTAAAAAGTTTCTACCCAAATTTGTCGCAGCAAACATTGCTTTATGGAAGAGTATAAACATTCATTTTCAACAAGTTGGTGTCGATACTGGTAAACCTTGATTATCATGGTAGCCACCACATCACATAATACGATAGTATATTACTCTCGTGTTTCCCACTATTCGTCTTTCCGTATACAGAAGCTTATACACTGAGGACAAGCAACCGTTTCAATATTATCATCTAACAGTTTTGTGTCTTAACACTTTGCCCTCCTAGCTACGGGCTTAATGTGTATCTGTCTAGCCAGCCAGACACCTATATGGCCCACTGTCCGCGGGGAACACCTCTCATTGCCCCTTGAATGGATGGTTAAAGACAAATAGCTTTTACGCAGTTTGCTGGCTCGGGGCACGACAAGGCTGTAAGGCTTACTTCACGACTGTAGATAATAAGGTTACTCTGCTGGGGATTGGAATCGAGAAAGAATGATCCAGAGAAAACCATCGTTGGCGATTGGTCGGCTCAGCGAAACATTGTGGCGCCAGGCTGTCCATTCTACTGCATCAACATCTCACTATGAACTCCAAGCCATTTTTAAAGCGTTTCTCTCGCCACAGGGCACCTTTTTTGTCTATGAACTTCACCCTTTTAAAGGATTTTCTGTGTGATTTTTCTCTAATGTCCTTCTTTCTCCCACACAAAGCAATCCAGAAATACTGCGGCTCCCGTAGACTTCAATGTAGTTAATTAACATTGTCAGGAGGAATAAGCTAGGGAGCAAGACAGGTGTGCTGCCATAAATTGCAGTGTTAAACTAACACATAATTTCATCCATGTAGAATACTAAGTCTATGCATTACCTGGTGTTAATTCAACGCCAGTTGGTGTTGATCCAACACCATACCATGCTAATTCAAAATGACACGCCGCTAATTTCAGCTTGAATTGTTGCTAATTCAACACTAATTTATCACCGCACAAAGTTCATTCATCGCCTTATGGTGTTCATAAACTATTATTCAACGTTGATTCAACTCCACATGGCATTAATGAAACAATACTCGGAATGGATTCAACACAACATAGTACTGTTGCAACACAGCAAGTGCTAATTCAACCCCCACCCTGTTTTAATAATCTTAGGTGTTAATGTAAGAATCTTGGTGCCCATTCCACACCACACGATGCCAAATCAAAATCAATGGGACTTAATTCAGTGCCACAGTTTTTGTAATTATATTTTTAAATCAGCATTTCCTTATTGTTTAGACTGCTGCAGACTGATACAATCATCCGCTTTAATCTTTACTATGGTATTTCACCCCTCAAGGCATTTTCATATCAACGTTTCTTGCACAATATCAGGGAGCAAATGATATGTTATTCAAACAAGCCATGCAATCTGCCCTAGGCTGTCTACTGTCATCATTCTCATTATTTGTAACCAAAGTTATCAGCAGGCAAACTTGAATTCAACATTGTTGGCATTTCAAATGATCAACGGAGAAACTCATCCATAGCCAGAAGCCGGCATACAAACTCTCAAATACAGACCCAAGAAACTTACTTTTTAGAGGGCCGTGGCAGTGCAATAGAGAAAAAAAAGGATTTAGAAAAGTATTCTGCAGTCCCCAGTTGAGACTACGGCCTTTTCAATGTTCCTTTCTATCTACAAGTACATAACCGTAGAATTTAATACTCAAAATGATGATGAGAGAAGTTTTAACCGGATTTAACCCTAGTTTGGGGGGATACAAATGCATGTCTTATACTAATGTCTAAATACAAATGCAGCTTTGTAATTAGAATATTCCTTATACATAGTTTACTAACAACATATTCATTTGTGTGTGATGTGACATAAATACATTTATTAGAACAATTTCAAATGGATTCATCGGCCATAATGCGCATGACCTATATAGTACAGAACATGAACTATAACGCGCATGTGATACCAGGGCACTGGATGAAAAAAGACCTGGCAAACTGTCACCAACTGTCATTTGACTCGAGCACGGGATCAACAACCTCCCAAGCAGTAAACCCTGATTTGGTAGATTTTTCCATGTTCATTCAAAAATGAATTTCTTCCTGTGAACAATGCCATTTGAAACCAGTCACCGATTGACTCTCACGGAAATACCAGCCTTAGTTGTCTGAAAGCGATTCTCCCGTAAGGCAACCATGAGATAATCATTTCTCGATTTGAGAAGGTGGCTGATCGGTTAATTATTTCTGACAAGCCCGACCATGCAGCGCCACGCCACACGGTCACGGCTGTGTCTGGTTCCCCCAAGAGCAGCCGAGTAATGTGTGGTGATGAACGATCATTACTTCGCTGCCAAGCAACTAGCGTTTTTCTTCGCCCCGGCACTGCCCCCATCACGTTTCCATTATACAATCTCACTACGTATGTTCACTCCAAGGACCCTGTGCAATAGTTGAGAGTTCACGCATGCGCACTCGATCACTTTACAGACGACGTCGGACATCGCCTCGACCCTCCCTTTCCGTGGATGGAGACCATAATTTATTTTTTAACAAAATACACACAAATGAAGTTCATGGAGATAACCAGATAACTAAAAATATTAATCAGACAACATTAAACCAGTGTTCCACAAAATTTGAAACAAATTCTGAAAGAAGTGATTTTAAAAAAACACGATCAGATTTGAAAGAAAATACGCCCACAGTCTTTCCCATTTTAAAGCAACTTCTCCAGTTTATCCAAACAAATGAAATAAAGTGCCGTGTGTATTAAGACCAGGTTGTATTTTCAAGTTATTGCGATTTGAATATTTTGGACGAGAATCATTTGTCCGTAGTAGTGCATGTATACGTCTACGTGCGTTGATGGAGTACGTATACCTAAAAGTGCACATGTGCACATGTGCACACATGAATCATGAGCGACCGGTCGACAGAGAGCCAAAATTGAAATTGATCAAACTAACAAAGGACAATTTGCAATATCTTAAACATAACCTTATAACCGTATAACCAAATATTCTTTGATTTATTAAGATATGCACCATGTGTGGTAAATTCGAGAACAAATCAAACTTTTGAGTTTAACATTTACCCTTTTTTAAGTTCGGAAATCTAATGTACACAGGAATCTCCATCCCATTCTCTCCCAAATGTCACTTATGATTAACAAGAAACACATCAGAAAATGAAATCTGAAGCCTGATTATGTTTCTCTGGTATAAATTCAAAACAATTTTACACAATGTGGAAGATCTCCGCAGATGGATTTGGTACAGTCGTTTACTGGCTTGCGTCGCCATTTAACAAGCAACAGAAAGTGACCACGACTTTACCGAATTTTTGCACATTAATGAAGTGGAAGGGGTGAACATTACATGATCACCCAGGTTCCCCAAACTGTCTGAAAAAAAAGCAAAGAGTGCGTGCTCTGTGTCTACATAATTCTTGCTCAAGTACGTCTGTAAAAGAAAATTTAAAAGCACGTGATTTCACCTCGAAAAAGGAGCAAAAGGAGTAATCACACCTAATTCCCCTGCAGTTGGCTGAACGTCAATTTAAGATCAAATTCGGATGTTTTGCTATTTTTGCCTCCGTAGAAATAAATAATGCAACCACAAGTTCCAAAGGAGTCTTAAACTCCTATTTTATTTCTACTGTCAGTGTTTTTGGCCATGGCACCTCGTAAAATAAATCCTTGAGATGAACTGAAATTTGCCATTCTTACTTCAACCTACTGCTGATGAAACACCCTGGCAAATAGGCCCATAGCCCCAAATCAACCAATCAAATTCAGTTGCACATTAAAATTACGAGCACTCTCCCATGAAAATATTCAAGTTTCCGATTCTTCCCCGCGCAGCTTTCATACAAAATTGTAAACTATGGTTGGAAATGGTTTTAGGGGAGTTCAAGTTTCTTTTGGTACCAGGGGAAGTTTGTTTAAATGAACCTACCTTCGAGCTTTTATAAGTAAGAATAGTTCATCAATAATTTACGAAATAACTCTGGTATAAGTCCATGTTTATCGAGACACATATAATTTTCTACTTTTCCTACTTCTTTGCAGTTCTTAAAAGATGGGATAACAGCAGAATTTTATCAGGAAGACTGACTGGGGCGCAACTCGAAAACTCTCCGGGGGAATGGCGGCGGAAATTACCTAATCCATCTCCAGATAGCTGCCCTGACAGATGTCCCTCCTCCAGGCCCGGGGGTATTCCATCACAGCAGACAGCGGAGGATGACGCGGGTGCAGGGAAGCAGAAGCGGATTGCGAGCCATACAAGCCCGGAACAGACCGGGCAGACCCAGGCCAGCGACACCTCTAAGCCTGGCCCGCGGTCTAGCTTAGCAATGCACGTGCAGGGCTTTCCACCGGACAGGTTTGCTCGCTCCCTCAAGAGGGGCGAGAAGACGTCTGCTGCTATGGATCTGCTGGAAAAGGCTGTTGATAGACTCATAACACGAGTGGGCATTGACGTGACTGCACATCCTACAGATCACTCAGAGAATGTGTACATAGCTCAGCCTGACCATATGAACCTCGAAACTATATAAACACAACAAATATTTACGCATACCGGTATGTCACGTTGAAAAAAGGGCATACATGTAATTAGGTAAACTCCTTCGACTAATACCTGTCTCCGTCATTGATTAGTTTATTAAATCCAGGCTGACAGTTCATCGTAAAAAAACAAAAATGAGGAGTTTGGTCCTAGGTTATGAATCAGCAACTCACGATCGAAATCTGCTTGTAATAAACTATATCTAACAACATTTTTCAGCCACTATGGTATTTTGTTTCGGCCACATTATTTTCCCCTCAAACAGCCGAGGTTCATTTTGATATGTAGTATGCAGTGCTTGCTAGGCCTAATCGTAATCGATTTTATTTCTTTCTGTCTCATTTAAAGATTTTAGACCCCATACATGTATTTGGAAGAACAATTGGAGTGTTCACTGTTTATCTGAACCATTTTAGTTTATTTGATTTGGCTTCACTTTTCAAGAATTTACAAGACCGGTTTTGGCCTGGTGGGTCGTGTTTTTCTGCATCATGTCTGACAGCACTTCCGCACTGCACAAGTACTGCCTAGTGCCACAGCCTTTCAGTGCCTGATATTGTAACGTTTACTTTTGGTATTAATGACGTCATTTCTATTCATCGTGTAGGGCGCAGGATATGTGCGGGATCAGTTTTATTGGGGCCCATGCCTCATTATAAGGCCACATTTTTATTAGTTGGATTACAAATCCGCTGACTCCGCATAATACAATTTTAGAAAAAAATGAAAAATTACAGTAGTTTAGTCCTGACAGTGTTTATTTGAAAAAAAAATGGACTGAATGGATTTTTCTCTTCCGACCTTAAAACGTTCACTGTAGGGGGAAATGGAACTTTAATGTTTTATTATTTTTTCTGTCCTGGGACACTGTAAAATTCCTTCCTAAATAAAAATGCCAGACTAATGCACGTAAAGGCCTGCGTTTAATATACATCAAGACATTAGTGTAGGACTGGTGCCAGTTTATGTTATATTATGCCACAGGTGTATATGTGCCTGGCTGGTCTTAAACGCGCGTTTCAGATCGGCTCAGGAGAATGGTAGCGACTAATGCCCGGGCCGCAGGCGAGGACGTTATCAGCGTTCAGTCTCCCAAGACCAGCAGAGCGCATATTATTTGATTCCCAATCATAAATACCGTTTTTCGTCAGAGAGTCAAATGAAGTTAATATGATGGATTTCCAGCGATTTTCTTCTATAATTTTACTTTCATCTCCAGAACACCCCGTCCTTGTTATGGTGTATTCCTTGTGCAAGTTGTCTAAAAGAATCTTCTTATATCGACTCGGCGCGCACGTAGTGAGCCGTGTGCACACAGACTTTTGACCAATCAGAATCGCTTTAACTGTCTCGTATCCGGATGCCAGTGCGTGATTTTAATACGCAGCGGGCATTATCGCTTCTCAACAGGCATTATCAAATGTTAATACTCGGTCAGTCAGTCAAGTTGCACGCTGTTAAAAACTGTCTGAGGTATTTATTAAAATGTATAAACCTAGTCTTAAATTGTTGTTGAGTCTTGTCTTGGACTGTGTACAGTGCACGTGCAGTGCAGCGACGATCACTCAAGGTGTGTGCCCGCCATGAAAGTTCCGGTAAGCGCAGTTGCTGTGCGTACTTCGGAGAAATAACAGGTAGTGGTTTAGTCACTGAAGCAGATAGTTGCGTAGATTGACCAATGGTTATAGCTAATTATGTTCAGCAGAAGTTGACTGTCGCAGTCAATTGTATGTTTTCTAAGAATCGGTTAGGAGTGATCGACAGTAGGACAGGCTGTGAGGGAGATTGTGTGGGTAAAGTTAAGGGCTAGGTTGTCGAGCTGGTCCAAAGGTCACCGTTAAGGAAGCCGGTGAGAAACGGGACAGACAGAAAGGCACTGGCAATATTCAGAAATCAGTTTGGGCGATCTCCGGGTAGTCTTCCGAGTGAAGATCGCTGAGTCCGGATTATATATAGTCTGCGTGGAGTGCGGATTATAGACGGCACTGTGAAGTTGGCCACTCCCTGCAGATTGTTCAAGTGTTCATTTATAATATTATAGAGTCTAGTAGTTGAGACCCAACTGTGTAAATTTAGTAAGTACTGCGAACTGAAGAAAACAGTATTACACAGGTTACCCTTGATGTTGCCTATAATTCTTTCTGTCTCGTACGTTTGCTGTTTTGTAAGTCAACAAAGTCGCCCTCCAATAGGTGGTTTATTTCCGCGAAAACGACCCCATATGCCTTAGCCTTGGACTACTCGTCAAGGTCAAGGTACAGTTTAGGTTTAAGTTTCGTGATTTTCTCCAACGATTGGAAATAAACGCCTCCAAATGGTGTTAGAAGTGGGCAACTGGAATTGATTAGACCATCGTTATAGATAAAGACACGTCTTAGTATTTCATTGCAAAGTTGGATCAGTTTACCTTGCCGACAAGTCAATCCGAGGTGCCAGAAGCACCGACAGCCGAGAGGAAAGTGGCTATAAGTGGAGAAACCGTTGCCCTTTCACATGAGCGCTGAAAACAGAGATCCCTTGCAATGAAATTAGCTTGATGTCACGATCGAACAGATAGTGTGGTGTGAAAGTGTAACCCTATCACTAAAAACGTGTCCCTGTGATCTTTGCATAGATCCAGAGCTAGTACTCCTCCAAAATTTCGCAAAGATGCGAAATCCGTGCGGTTATCACAGTGTAAAGCGTGGGGATCTCGCAAGGATTGTGTGTGTAACTTGAAGTCCATTACTCGCGCACACCCTTGCTGCTGTCGTCGTTCAAAATGGCGCGTTGGCAGTTAACGAATCTACCGCCCATTAGTGGAAGTCTTGTTGCCATCTGGTCCCACGCACGCATAAGGGGCGGGAACCCCTGCAGCCTTGAATAACAAAAAGGGGAAAATTTCTTTACAGCATTTTCAGTGATCGAGTTTTATATTGTCTTCTGTCTGTAAATCGGATACCCAGTGCCACTGAGACGCTGGAACAAGGCTGGCACTAACCAGGAGTGAACATTATGCTGCTGATATGCCTGCTTGTGAGTCCCATGAACGAAAAATGCCAGAAACTCTCTCGTAAACGAGGCACAAAATCCAGGAGGCACACAGAGAAGCCACCAACCGACGAATAATGTTTCCTTGTCGCTGAATGCGATCATAAATGTTCGTGGAAACTTGCCAAAAATTACGCGCTTATACGACAGGAAAATCGCCGGTACCCTATATTTCCACCGTTCAAAGAATAACACAGTACCAGAAATACAAACGTAAATTCTGCAAAACGGGGACGTTCCCTAAAACGCTGCAATGTAACGTGTGAAAGGTTGCAGTGAAATCGCAGATGACCCCTGGCAAAAGACACTTGGCGCACAAAAATGTGTGTTTTTCGATTGTTCGTGTGAAATTGTTGAGAAACAGGACGGTTTATGTGTACCCGTTTGAAAGAGTGCAACGGTGAGAGTAGACTTAGAATCCTCCGAGCATGAACACGGAGCTATAGTTCCTCCAGTGGGAGAGATCTCATGGCCAAAAAAAAGTAGAAGCTGCCACACAAGATCAGAAAATTCCCTAGGACAGAGTGAAGGCACACCCGAGAAGAATGGACGTGGTTTCAGAGATTAAATTCAGGTTGCCAGCAGTAGGTTCTGTCTATTTACTTCTGAAGTGTGGGAAGAGAGTGGAGTTTCGGTAAAGTACTACCCAAAGAGTAGCTGGTTTAGAAGGAGTCTGACCAGTGCGCACGTTAAGTGCGATAGAGGAAATTGGGTCTTTTTTCAGGTTCAGGTGTGCACAGAGCTAGCAGCAGCCCGACTCCGTAGAGTACGAGAGACAACCCACAGCAAGCAATTAAGCTGCGATCAGCAGCAACCGCAGCAGCCCAATGGAGAAGGCATACTCCTTTTTGGCCGGGGAAGAGGGGACAGAGAGCTGGTAAAAGGAAGAGTAAGACAATGGAACAACAGGAACAAAGGTGATGTGGAAAGAATATCTCCAGCGCTTTGAACTTCGTGGAGTGGTGAGCAAGTAGAGCAGAGACCAGGCAGCTGCCCATTTGGTTGCCAGTCTGCAAGAAAATACCGTAAGATTAATAGGAGACGTTCCATCTAGCCAAAAGCGCTCACAGAGTGAGCTGGCGAAACTGCTTGACTGCAGGTTTGGTTCAGGTTGCCAAATTGAGAACTACTTTGTATCTTCGAGGTGAGGCATCGGTGACAGAAGCCGAAAGAGAGCTCCCGAGAGATGGGTCAAGCCATGGTGAAGGCGTAGCCTGATATTCAAGAGGAATAACGGTTGGCAAAGAATAACTTTCTAGAGGCAGTGGAAAGTTGGTTCGTGCGAGAAGGCATAAACCGAGCTCGTCTGAAGAATTTGGATGGCCCCTAAAGGCAGTTCTTGAAACTTAGAATTTGAGAGAGTCGAGCAGCAGCGAACACTCGATGGTAAGACTGCCAAAACGGTGAAGGAATCAGACTCCAGAATGGAACAGAGATTCAGCAAGCTAGAGGTGAGCTCAATAACTCGACAGAACTGTCGACAAAGTTATCACAGCACTTACACAGGGCAAGGCATCCCAAAATAGGAATGTAAGAGAGGAAGAAAGCCCGAGAAAGCAAGCAAGGGGACCAAAGCTGCTTTGGGTGTGGCGAGAAAGGCTATTTTGCAGGACCCGAAGAAACAATCCTAGAAGCGAGGAAATGGGGTTCAGCCACCCCTATGGTACGCAGGCGGGCTGGGAACACCAGATGGTCGTAAAGACCAACCAGAGGAGGGGAGGAGATCAGAGAATGGCGAAAGGGAGATAACCCTTCAAATTGCCAGCCCTGGCCCCCAGGGTGGACTGTTCTATAATGGTGAGTCAACGAAGGTGTCTGTAATTGACACTGGTGTGTCAGTAATTGACACCAGTTCCACAGACACACCCATGAGTAACACAGTCTACTATCAGATATCCAAAGAGAAGAGGCCATTCTTTGGGACAAGGCAAGTTCAAGCGAGACAGGTTGATGGAAGTC